GTTCATTAGTGCTTTATGACATCACTCAGTGGCCCCGTATTCTCTTTGATTGACTCAAAGGCTACCGGTACTCACAAATATGTCGCACTAATATAGCTATTGCTTCAACCATGTCAGTATACCCCATACAGTTTCCACAACGTATTGCTATTTACCTATGAATATTTCCCAAATCCAGGTGGAGGATTTAAAACCCAAACAAGAGAACCAAATGTAAAGCAATCAAAGCAAACAATATAATCATGCAAAGGGTGATCTAAGCCCTAAGGTTACCCCACTTTTAGATATCTCCCCAGCAGAGTCGCCAGTTCTGTGATACGGTGGGAGAACTGACTTGGGATTTTGCGTTTGTGTTTGCAAATGTTTCAGTTTATCAAGAGTCGCCGCCGACTTTTTATTTTATCCTAAGAAAGGTCAAAAAGCACAGGAAAGGCCTTTGAGATGTTTTCTTGGGTTTGGGGAGTAGATTATAGAAAGGGAAGGTATTATCACCCTTTCTATCCATGGTTATCCATGGGATCTTAGTTACCTGTTTAGATCACTTGCTTTGCTTTTCAATTGTTTGAAATGGTGCTCTTCAATTGTTTGAAATGGTGCTTTGTATGTGGTTTTGAAAGATATTATTTAAAAGAGGCCATCATTGTGCCAACCTTTGTAATGATTCTTGTTTGAATGTATACAAAGGTGTTTTTGTCTTTTGAAAAGTTTTCAATGTTTGAAAGTAGGGTTTTGAATTTGTGTGGTGAAGTGTGTTTTTAAAATAGCAAGGATGTTTTGCAAGTTTTGATCAAGTAACTAAGAGTTGTCTACCCTATTTTACTCAAGGATCTTTCTTATGTTTTTTAACCCTTTTAATAGTGTTGTTTCACCATTGTATTTGGTGAACAACCTTGTGTTAGGATGTTAAACGGGACAGGCTCGGGTCATCGTATAGACCATGATAGCAATAGTGTCAAGTATTTTTGGCAATTTTCTTAAGGGACTTAATCATTTTATTTAGGCAACTCAGATAGCGTCATCGAGGGACTATGATCTTTTGTTTTGTTTTTGTTTTGCCAAAGTACTTAACATGCATACCATGACCCATTTTTGAAGGCAACAAGTGGATTGAAACCCTAGGGGTGCAAGTGTGCATTGTGCCTGTTTTTTCATGCATTTTTGTCTTTGATTAGATCAAACTATTTGTTGGTTTTGATTTGGCATTCAAACCCTAATTCTCTAAGCATGGCATAATTGAAAGCATTTAAGTGCGAGAATTTAAACTCTAAGCTATTACAACATGATATAGGGAGGGGGTACAAATTTGAATAGGGGAGTATTTTGCAAGAAATTAAACCCTAAATTATTACAACCAAATTAAATTTGCAAGGCATAATATTTAAATGTACAATATTTAAATAAAATTCAATAAATAAATATTAGATAAAATGTATTATGCAAAAATTTTTTTTTTATTTGTTCATGTATGCAAAAAGTATTTTTAATGTGAAAGGTATAAAGAAATAAATAAAAGATTAATTTTATTTGTTTTTAGGGCAAAAACCCTAATTTCTTAAGAAAATAAAATATAATGTATTATTTATGTACAAAAATATATTAACATGTGTAAAAATGAAATATATCCAAAAAAGGGTATTTTTTAGTATAAATAATAAGAAAAATAAAATAAAATATTTTTGTGTTTTATTTCTAAGTTTTTAATAAAACAAAAGTATATATATATATATATATATATATATATATATATATATATATATATATATATATATATATATATATATATATATATATATATATATATATATATATATATATATATATATATATATATATATATATATATATATATATATATATATATATATATATATATATATATATATATATATATATATATATATATATATATGTGTGTGTGTGTGTGTGTGTGTTAAATATATTAAGTGTGTAAAAAATAAAATAAATTATTTACAAAAATACAATATATTCAAGAAAATATTTTTGGTGTAAATAAAAAAATAGAAATGAAAATAAGAGTATTATTTGCATTATTTTTGAGGTTTAAACAAAATAATATAAAGCATTTAAACATTTTAATGTTAGAAATAATTAAAATAAATACCAAATAAATATAAAAATTTATGAAAATATTTTTAGGCATTTTTTATGTTTGGAAATAAAATAATAAAGTCAGAAATGAAATTAAAATGCAAAAATAATAAATATACAAAGAAATGGGCCAGGGGGTGTGATACTGAAAATGGGGGTGTCAAAAGCAAGAAATAGCCAGACCCAACCCAGCTACTTAATCTTCTTCCTCTGTTCAAACAAAAACACGCGCCTTCTGTTGCACCCCAAAATTTGCCCTTCTAATTTCTTTTATTTTGGCTTAGACTTTTGCATTCATCTGCATCTATTTCATTAGGTCACTAACATGGCATACATTTCATTCAATATAGCTCTGAGGTTCAAAGTCCAGTGGTTGTGCGATACTAGGGTTTCCCAGTGGTTAAGGCGCTCGTATCCAATAAGGGATGATTTCTTATTCAGGCAGCAAGCTGTGGAATTAGGGTTTTGGTTCATTCTCTTTTTTGGATTTCTTCTCCATCAAGCTACAAGGTTATTATCTTCTGTTGAACAATAAGTTGTAGGGTATGCCTGTAAATAACATAAGGTTGTGATCTCGCGTACATGATTCAAAACACCTCATTCTATCATTGTGCTTGTCATTTGGTCAAGGTTTTGTCAATACTAGAGGTGTATTAAGATCTTCTCTAAAGGATCAAGATCTGTTATCAATCCAGGATGCATATGATGCTTGCATTACAGGTTGTTGACTATGTCATTGTTGCATTAAGTTCATCTATCCTTAAGTTAATCAATTAGGATTGGGTACGTCATGATTTAAGATATTTTGTATGGTAAATTTGGTTGCTTGACGGTCAAGGTATTGCGAATAATTGGTACAAGCTATTGTTTGGATATTTGTGCAAGAACTTTGGTTTCAAACATGGATTAAGGTTCAACTTGATAAAAAAGGAAATAGCATGCCTGAAGGTTTATTTCATAAATTCTTGCGGAGGAAGATGGCACATGAATATAAGTTGAGATTAAAGTACATGGTATCAAGAATCTCTTCATGATTCAAGTTGTTATTTTCAAAAATTATCCCACACCATTATTAACCCCAATTAGCAGCATTCAAGAGAGAGATATTGAGGATGAAATCATTGTTGAACACGATGAAAGTTCGGATGTTGTGCCAGCCGCAGCTGCCTCCTCCTTGTATCAGCCAGTCATGGGGCTCAAAATGAAGGTCCAATTAATCAGAGGGGAAAAGGAATTAATGAACGCATTGCTTCTGGATGCAAATGGAATGGGAGAACTAGATGGAAGATCCAGAATCTGGGTGGAGCAACTAAGAGGTATTTCCCTTGAAGCTCAATTTGTCCTTAACAAATATGATGCCAAATTGAATCATAAGCCAATTCTCATCTACATTTGTAAGTACTGGACTCGACATGTTGTTAGTAAGAAGATAGATGGTATCAGAAACAAAATTGAAGATGCTTCTAGGAGAAGAAAAGCATATGGTTTAGTGCAAATTCAAAGCCGAGTCGTATCTAAGATTCAAATATTACGTGCACGGATGCAACCGTATCTTGCTGCCAAGAAATCCAGTGTGGTTGGATTTGATGATGACACACAAGTTCTGATGACGAAGTTACTGTCGGACGAGAAATGCCGCTGCATTACTTGGATTGTTGGAGTCGGAGGCACAGGTAAGACAACACTAGCCAATTTGATGTTTCAAGACAACACTGTTGTAGCTCATTTTCAGCGTCGCGTATGGGTGTCACTGCCTTCAAATTGTACGACAGACCAGTTTGTTGCAAAAATTGGCAAGGAGACCGCCAAGAAAATTACAGTAGAAGAAGAAAACATGCCCACTGATTACGTACTCACAACCTTGGCACACTCAAAGTACCTTATAGTTGTTGACGGCCTTAAAGAAACATCCAAAGTATACTTTGATACCTTGAACAGGGTCATGCCTGATATGTTAACAGGAAGCAGAGTTCTTTTTACTACTCGCAATGCAACAGTAGCCCAACATGCAGCAGGTAGAATCATTCTTCACCCATTACAGTTATTAGATGATGAAACTAGTTGGCTGTTGTTCACAAGACATTTGAAGGTCCCCAAGTCAGAAACAGAACTTATCAAGGTTGGAAAAGAAATTGTGATGAAATGTGGGGGACTGCCATCACAAATACTGAAAATAAGTGATTTGCTTTCACATAAAGATGTTACATATGAGGAATGGTTAAGCGTGCTAGGAGGGCAGCAGCTCAATGAAAATCAAATACAATGTTGGTCTGAAACGCTAGACACAATTAATACAAACTTACCTTATTATCTGAGAAGATGTCTATTTTACTTTGTGCTATTCCCTGCTGAATTTGGGATCCCTGTCAGAAGGTTGGTTGTTTTGTGGGTTGCCGAGAGTCTAATTCATCAAGCAGAAGATGACGAAGTGCCCCCGGAGCTCGTTGCAGAAAGGTACTTGACAGAGTTGATAGATCGGAGCATGGTCCAAGTAGCCAAGAGAAAGCGCAATGGAAAGGTGAAAACATGTCGTCTCCCTAGTGCTTTGCGGCAACTCTGGTTGTCAAAGGCTAAAGACTCCAGATTTCTACAAGGTCGCCGATCTGCCACGGATTCAAGTGCAGACCCAAAAAAGTTCATTATTCGCCGGGTTGCAGATCATCTTGATAAAAATTATATCTGGAACGATCATATTCATGGTGACAATGCTGATTCAACTTCCTTTCAAAGCTATTACAAGGACGTTCTCTCCTTTCATTCCTTTGATAGTCAAGAGGGGAGTAAACCTGGAAAACAAGTAGGTAACTTTCTCAATTCATGGCCTGTCTAAAGCATATATAGAGCCTGTAGAGTTTGCTGGATCAGGTTTGCTTGCAATTGCATTTGTTAGCATGTCTTCTGCAGATCATGGGATACGAAGATTAGCTTATGACACACTTGTTATATTTAAGAATGTATTAGAGAAATGCCAAAAGAGGAAGGATGTAATGGGACTCCGGCCCCTAATGAATTCTGTTCAAAACAGTATTGAAGAGTCATGGCGAAGAATCCCATTGGTTATTGCTTTGTTTGCTGCAGAGGCATCTTGTGTATTGTTAGATTCCTCGCATGATCATTATGCAGCTATATGCACGTTCTTGACACAGTCTTCTACGATGAATATGAAGGTTATACCTCTGTTTGATAACTTTATGTGGAGTTCATCCGTCAATTTCAAAGCAGAGAGATCTTGGATACTTCGGCTAGTATATGCAGGACTGAACTCAGATGATGATGCCATGATATATATTCAGGATTTACAGAAACATATAAGCTAGAATCCCTGCATTCTTTACTGGTGCATGTAGAAAATACCTCAGGACAAAGACATGATATTAATATTGGCTGTGAGGAGTTGCTTGCTTCAACAATTTTCTATCTCCAACTGCTTCCTGGTATAAATCAGGAACTTCTACCATCAGTTGTATCTGCTCTATGTCTCCTAACTTTTGGTGCCTCTAATTTACAAGTGGGAAGAACCATTTTATTGCAAGACTATAATACTATCATATCATCAAACTCTTTAAGGGTACAATGCCCTCTTGAAGCTAATCCAGATTGGAGATGGTCGTTTTACCAGCCAAGGAAGGATCAATCACTGGAGTTCACTGGCACTGGTACAGAAAACATGGCAGAATATCATGCTTGCCAAACTCTGTTGGTGGTTGTTGCAAATGTGCTTGGTGGAAAGAAATTAGAGTCAGCTTGTTTGTCCCCTCTAGATGTTGAGATATCTTCCTTAATCAAATGGGAAAGAAGTTTATTGAGAAACTGAATGTTTATTATCAACCCATTTTCTGGGCCATGTATTTGGTGCATTCAACTAGACCCGAATGATTCAAATATGGAAGAGATGCCCATTGTACTGACAAGGGTAAGTTTAAAACTGAGTTGCACACTAATACAAACGCTAGCAATCAACACAAGACTAAGCTTGGTGGGAAGGTTGAAACTTCAAAACGGCAATTTATCTAATCAGAATAAAGAGGCGGTACAAGTTGAATTAACTGACAAATGGTATCCTAATATGCCATTTTTGGATGTTCCTTTGTTAAAGCAGCTGGCTGCTGAAGGAATTGTTTGTAGGACAGAAGCTTGAAAAATGGGAAACAGAAGATTAATTAACAGCTCATCAATTTCCTCCTAACAACTTTATAACTCTCTAACTACCTCCAAACAGAATTCCCAACTAGCATAACCACCTTGTAACCAACTCTCAATCTCACCCTTCAATCCCTAACAAACTCTATCCAAATCAATGGTTCAGATTGATTCCTACATAATTGTTTCCTCCCTCAACTACCTATATAATCCAAACACCCTCCAAGTTTGAGGGGATGAGGTCACTCTCTCTTTTCCAGTTTCAAAACTTCATCATTGTATCAGCTTCAAAACAACTTCTTCCCTCTCCATCATTCATTCTCAATTTTTTCTGAACTCTCATCATCTTCTTCAAAGACTTCAACGAGAATTTAGAAAAACTTTGTACATCATCAGCATCATCCTCAACGATTTCAAAACAAACTGCGCTCGGCTCAAAGAACAACAGTGCATCACGCCACAACACGCACCAGCAAATAGATCACGGTGCAGAACGATCGATTCATAGAAGAAGGAGATTGAGAGGAAAAGGTCACGCATATGAGTTGAGAGATTCAAACCTGAATACACCAAGTACTACTGGATTTCTGTTCATCTTCATCATCCTCAAAGAACACCGGACCTCTCCGGTAGGTAAACACCGTCATCTTATCCCCTTCATTATTTTGCTCTTTCCTTTTAGCACCTCCGTGTAGAATGTGTGGCAGGATTTCTTGTTTTTTGTTGGAGAGTTGTTGCTCGTTGAAAATCGGAGAAGGACGTGGAAGTTTAGAGGAGAAGGGAGATCGAAGAAAGAACGAAAGTGATGATATTGAGGAGACAGAGACCACGCGAGGTTTTATCGGAGAAGGAGATTAATGGTGAAGTTACGACAGTCACTGATCGGAGTGAAACAAAGGCGGTGGTTCGTTCACACGATGCCGTTTGAAAGAAGAGAAGAAGGAGTCTACTGTCAATTCCAAAACGACCCCGTTTTCTTTTTTTTTTCTTCTTTCTTTATTATTTTGTTAATTCTTTGTTTTGTTTTTAAATAATAATGACAAAACTTCTTTTTTTTATATAATCTTTATTATAGTTAAGAACTTATCTTAATCTTCCTTATAAAAAAAACAATAAATATATATATATATATACATAAAATAAATCCATAAGAATTTGTTAGTTTTTTAATACTTATTTGATTTCTCAGGAGTTAATCTGTTGGTTATCCGATTAGTTGAAATCCGTGACTCACCTTTGTTTTTGTCGAGACTTGAATCTTATGCAGGTTCAATATGCGACACGTGGATATGCTTAAGATTTCGATTGTGATTTGTTTTCACATCTAGGACACTTTGACGCTTACTTCGAGTACTGAATTTCTAACTTTTTTTTCGTTGTTGATGGTAACAGCTCACGAGATCGTCAAGTATCTTTGCTTTTTCTGCTTTGCTCTACGGGCTAGTATTCGCTTGGTATATTTTCTTTCTATTTTTTACCTCGCATTTATCTTTTCCCATAGATCATATGAAGTGTGATAGAATCAGGTTTAGGCTAGTCTCCCTATAACTTTTCTTTCCCTTTTGCATACGCATCTAAAACTAAAACTCTTTTTTTTCAAACTTCAAAAAATGCATAAAAATTTACTGACAAGAACTATGTCTTGGCTAAGTTTGAGAGATGATAAGCGGGTTTCTTCTCGGCCTTATTATTCTCTTGTTCTAAGCTTTGGTATGATTCAAGTCTCAAAGACTCATTTCATGAATAAGTAGAGAAATGGCTAAAATCTCTCCCTTGAGATTAACTAGCCATTATCTACAAGCAAAAACACCGACAAATGTAAACTCTTTTTGCCTCTGGGCCTTCCTTTCAAAAGAACATGTTAATTCACTTCTGTGCTGACGCGTAAGTCTCCAAAGGTAGAGTTGCGGCAGAAGGCGAAATTAATATCATTCATTACAAAAACAAACCAAATTCAAACTTTTGTGCGCCCAAGCACATTTTCTCCAAATCTTTTCAGAGAGCATGTTAATTCACTTCAGTGCTGATGCGTAAGTCTCCAAAGGTCGAGTTGCGGCAGAAGGCGAAATTAATATTGTGAATTAAAAAAAATACAAACAAACAAAAACATGTAAGCCGAACTACGGCTGCTCTGATTCCTCAAAAAGGATACGTAGGCATCGGGGTAGGGCCCGAACGAGCACAACTTTTATTTTCCCTACATTTTCTCCCCCTTTCTTTTGCATGCATTCCTCCAGTAGTATAGTAAACAATAAGCATAGATTGAACACACCCATAAGATAGACAACAAGAGTGGATACCATAGAGTACTACGGGCGTGTGGGGTGCTAATACCTTCCCCTCACGTAACAGACTCCCTTACCCTTATCTCTTGGTCGTTCGACCTTGATTTCACCCTTCTCGGGTTTTCTCGATGTTTCCCTTTCCCTACCTTTGGGATAAAAGACGTTCGATGGAGACTTCATTGTTTGATGATTTTTAGCTGGTTGTTTCAGCTGGCGACTTCACTGGGGACAGGTCGACCAAATGCTGGTCCATCCCGGAGTCGCTCCTAGCTCTTGCTTTCTTTTCTTTGGGTGTTTATTTTTATGCTTTCAGTTTACTCATTTGTACATGTTTGCCTGAGCATAAGTTTGCATTGCATTTTATTGCTTTCCCTATTTGTTATCTATTATGCTGGACTCTGTTTTCCATGTTGGGTGGGGATGTCACTATTGAGGTAAAAGGCCCAGTACCCAGGCCAGAGTGCACTAGGATACTAGCAATAGAGTGGGGGCATGATGGCCATAGGACGTGGTCCAATTAGTGCAGTCTTGTCATATACCATGCTCGAATGAGGTTCAAATGAATTACTATCGACACCCACGTCTGTGGGTAAGCCCATAGTACTTTCAGGCGGACCCGTGATTTTCGAGTTACCATTGTCTTACCCTGACCTAGTCTTCACCCGTGAGTGGGGAGAGATTTGTCATTACAGGTACAGTTGGTGCTATGTTCAAATGGTTACTCATGCTCAGATGGAGATTGTGATCAGACAGCGACTATTGGTTCTAATGATCATGTTATGGACTTCTGTCAATGAATTATGCATATGGTGTTCTGTTGGTGACCATATGGTTCTCAGATTTATTTTCTGAGTTCCTGACTTGCTTACTTAGAAGTTCCTTCAAGCCTTTGATCTTGGCATTCCCAGCATATTCAGAAATGCTCAACAGTATCTGATGTTCCTGAAGCCTTGATCTCGTGCTACTTAGATCTACATAGTACTCGGCTCTTATATGTGCAGAAGCTATGTCGGACCTTTGATTTGATAATATTCATATGGTTCAAAAGCAGTGCATCAATCATATTCATAAATAATGGAACCTTGATCCCATTTGATCTCATGCCTTTGCGTACAAAACATGGTTGAACACATGCTTAACATACATGTCCTGTGATTTCTAAGGAATCGTATTTGTAAGCCTTATGCCAAACTTTTCCATCTTTTACTTACATAAAATCAAAATCAAAGCATGTAAGTTCCTTGGAAATGACGGAACATGACATGGCATCCGTTCATGTATCCCATGTATATTCATGCATCCATAAAGGTACTCAAGGATTGGGGATTCTTATTCAGACATGGTTCTCCTTGGAGGTTTAGCTTTGACTTCTTACTGCACTTGTTCAGGGATCAGTTAGGGAATAACCCCGTGTGGCATACATGCAAGCTTTGGCCCGTAGTCAAAAATATCTTCAAGCAGGAAGATAATTGATTGAAAACTCAGATGAGATAGGTCATGAAGGCTCTGATGATGATGTCAACAATATTGCACCTACAGTAAAGGTTCTCTCTTCCCCTCATCTTTTGGGAATTGCTTTTAACCATGGAGTGCTACGCAATCCTGAGTTCTTAGAACATCTTATCAGGAGATGGTTCCCATTTACTATGTGATCTTATATCAGTGCTTCGTTCTTTTTGACCAATGTCAGATATGATTACCACGCCGGGGCATCATACCTTCTAATCAGGGACATCCTCCATAACTTTGTGTTCCCTAATTTGTTCAACAAGAGCCAGTCTTTATTCCCCAAGTGAATTCATGGGGAAAGTTTTTAAGCCAAGACACAAGAACCCTGATGAGCATGCTAATGCGAGCCCAATGCATGACATCCTAGTATTCCCAGTTCTTCCCAGCTCTGATCTTTGAGATCTTCCTCCCACAAACATCTCTTCTGATTATGATATGTATGCTAGATACATCCCCTATTCTGGGATACCCGGTTTTGATATTGAAGACTACAAAGGGGTTGAAATATAAAGCCCAACACCTGTTTGGCGTCTCTTCCAAAGGTCCAATTCCTCTTTGGCTAACTACCACACTCTTTTTCACCAGGGGGATGTCTCTTTTATTCTGATAGAAGACAAACTATATTTTTGTGTGGCGTAGTATGCCTGATGATGCAGCACATATCGTTTCGCTTGGAAAAGAATTTATTTGTTCTCCTGAAAGAATCTAGACGCATATTATACTGGGGCACCTGGCCAATCGATTGAAGATGGTACGTCATCCAGAGACAAGACCCAAGACAAGATCAATCCAGAGACTGTAATGTCCGAATCATATCAGAGGGAGAATTTTCTCACTCACCTCATGCATCTTCATGCATCCATAGAAGGTACTCAGAAGG